TCTCTCAATTATACTTGACCTTCATGAGTCAAGAGCATGACTTCTTCCTCTGTGTTCTCTGCAGAAAAGTGGAGTAATACAGAGGCTAGACTCAGAGGCACTTACCCAAAGCTTTGTTCAGATGAGCTCATCTAGAGAAAAGGGATGGGGCAAATGAGGGTTTTAGGCTTGAAATAAGAAAGATGGCTTAGGTCTCTTGGGTGGTGATGAACACATAGAACTACATAGCCAGTTACCATGTCTACTTCCTGCAAATCACATCCACTGCTGACTGCTGCCCACTGTCCATCATCCGGTGCTGACTGTATCCTCATAATTAGCTTATCCTGGTTGAAGTTGGCCTGTATAAACATTGTGTAAAGTTGTGTGCAGAGCAGAGTCCTGGTCTATCAACTATCCTTGAACATCACACAGTCTTGGGGTATGAAACTGCACTTGGAAGCAAGCTCCTAAATTTGAACTTCCAGGGGCCACCAGAGAGAAGCATTACCCAGCACTGAAGTGAATTTTAAATGACACGGGCAGTCTACAAGAGTACAGATATGCAAGAAGTCCAGTGCACCAGGAACCAAGAGCAAGCAGGGAACTGTCAATGGAGACGCCGCTCTGGTCCTCCAGGCAGAGAAGGCAGCGAGAACATGTCCAATGTTATGTATGACATCGCCAGCCACGGAGGGCAGATGCTTATATTTCTCACTTCCACCTTGCTCAGTAACCTGACAGCGCCAAGCCCATCATTAAATCTCTATGGATCACAATCTATGCAGTTAAGATAATAACATGCTGACCACAAGAGAGGCTGGGTGTGTTAATTATGACAGAAAGACACTGGGAACATATACCAGGGTCTCCAGACTCCATTTCTGTTGGTTCACACAGGTTCCTGAGCAGCCATTGGACCATAATGAATTTCAGTCTCTCCTGCCCTGGGCCATGCCTGTCCCTGGGTGTCAGAGCCGGCAGGAAGTCGACCTATTGCACAGCCTGGAAGCAGCTAAGGAGAGACTGTGGAGTTGCTGCCAGCGATGTAAGGCAGTCTCTGGGGCCTTTGACATGGCGGCAAGTGGCCACCCACATGCCAAGGGAAGTGGTGACAACATGTAGCGGCAGAGGTGGAGCCAGGGGCCTGAGAGTTTCCAAAAGAGGAGATAATTTTAAAAATGGCAGTTTGAGTAATCAAGGTTTAACAGATCAACAGGCAAGCTTGAATGTGCATGATAGGTTTACCTTGCATTTTTTATATTCTCTCATGTGATTGTATCTTCCCCGAGAACCTTCTTGGGCAGAGGGCTGGGGGTGTCTAAGTGGAGAAGACCAATGATGTTTACATCTCATCCTTTTGTGTATTTCCTGAGCTCCAGCTTCTGATTGGGTCCCATGGGCTGCCTTAGGACCCCTGAGCCAATCAGAGCCTGCTGCTACCTCAGCTCCCAGCCCCTTGGAGCACAGGCTGTCCTTCCTGCCCAGAGGGCAAGCAGGAAAACCCTTTTTATTTTTCTATAATTTGTCAAAATGAGCTGCTAATAAAAATAACAAAATTTTAAAAGTCTTAATTTTACAACAGCATAGAAATGGTTGTTTCCAGATTACAGCTGGTTATGCTTGTTAAGTAAGTGAGTGAATTACTTGGATAAACAAAGGTAGGTGTATCAAAAGCTTGAATATTGACCTGAAAACTGCATCTTTTTAGTTAAACCCAAACAATTCATCCGAAGTCACTTATCACTAATGCCACAGTACTTTTACCCTCCTTCTCCAAACATAAAACATGGCTTGCCAGTTAGATATAGCATGAAAACCTAAGATATCAGAGACAGTGAACATTCTTTAATGAGTGGAAGTGATTACTCTGGAAACCAACGTTTAAATTTGCTGTTGGAGTCAACTTCATGTCATAAAAGTAGGTAATACAGGTCAAACTGTAAGGGAAAAAAGACTGATGGGTCACATTGCTGCCACCAGAAGAGAATTTGTTAAACCATCCAGTCTAAAAATCACCCATGTTTGGCGAGAGAATCTTCTATTTCCAATGAAGTTTAAATTCATATTAGAAAGGAGAAAATAAAATGAAAATTGATACTATGGGGCAGTGAGATATACTCACTGAAGAAGCACTAGACAGGGGGTAGGAGTCTGTGATCCTGTAGCCCAGCCCTGGGTTGTTCAAGCAGAGGAACTTCAGTTTACTCGGCTACCCAGTGAGATGACAGCCAGGACCACCAAGGCCTGGGAACCTGCCATTCTATGAGGCTTTTAAGACTTGACCAATTCATCCCAAGTAAACTCAGTAGTTCTCAATGACATAAAGGGAAACGGCAGTTCTGAACACGCCCAGTTCAAAAACTGTAGAAGTTGGTTTTAGACAGACACTAGACAGACACTCTTATTCTCTCTCTCTCTCTCTCTCTCTCTCTCTCACACACACACACAGACACACATACGTGTATATAAAATCTTAAAAGAGTACATTTCAAGAAGATCAAAAGTAACAACCCAACACAAAGTTCCAAGCACTGCTTCATTTGTGTTAAAAACCTAGCTTGATTTTATAACTCCTTTCTGTTGGGGAGTTGCTTTGCTTCAGTGAGGTCACATCTTGTGTGCCCATGAGCTGTTCAGTATGATTCATCAATAATTTTAGAAAAATCTACACCCAAACAATTCATCTGAAGTCATTTATCACTAATCCCATTTGGTATGAAGAGGACATGTTTCGCTTTAAAATAATGAGCAAGACTAACAGCACTTTGATTGTAAATTCCCATTTCATCTTAATGTTATGAAAAGCCACAAGGAAAATGCCCAGCATGATGCCCTTGATATTTAAAAAGCTCATTGGACTTACCATTAGTCTGCTCCAGAACTCAGCCTCCCTTGTAAAATGCTCCATACTGAAGGGGTAAATTTCTTGTTCTGCCTTGTCAAACGTGTCACCTGAACTGCTCGAATGACTGAGCACAGCGCTCGGCAAACATGTCAGTCGAGCCACTTTCATAATATTGACGGTTGCATTCTCTCATCGCTGGGAGTCTTGGGAGAAATGGAATTTACATATGTTGGGGTGAGATGGGTGCGGGCATTTCCTATAGTTATGATTCAAAACCAAGATATGTTTCATTCAAGGAGATAATAACATAACTCAAAGGAGAAAAGTATCCCCTAGCATTAGTACCATTTAAGACATGACAATTTCTGTTGCCGTGTACAAACGCACCACGCCTCCACCACCGTGCCAAGAACAAGCCTACGGTGGGTGGTGCAGGTTCCTTTTGGCATTTTTTTAATGGCAGACTCTTGTAATTATAAATCTCTCAGCTCACTTTAAGGTGTGCACGGGAACACAAGAATGGGATCTGGAATGCAAGTATAATGTTGCAAGTTTAGGGAGACAACTTTTGGCATTCTTGTGGGGGCGAAATTAACCCAAGTCGAAATTAACCTAAGTCGGCTCCTAAATGATTCATCCTCTGTGTACTTTGTTAGAACAGGTCAAGTGTGATTTAAACAACCACATAAAGTATCTGTGCTTATAATAGTCTCACTTTTTTCCTTACAAGAGACAGGAGAAGAAATAACTTCCTCCAAATAGCCTAGAAAATGAGATCAATAGTTATTCCAGTCTTCATGAGTACTGATCACTCAAATGGTCACTCAAATGACACATATGTGTAATTACGGGAGTCAAACACCCCCTAGCCACCATTCCTGCTGGCTAAAGACAAAAGGGAAAGGAGCGTCTACATCAAGTCTGCTGGGAGAGACCTGGAAGAGCTCTGGTCACTGGTGTCGGTGGTCTTACGCCCTTTCCTCATCCCATGAACATTTCTTGCATATTCAGATCCGGTGAAGTTGTCAAAGCTTATGATGGAAAGCAAAACTCAAATGCACAAACTGCATAGCCTTTAATAAACCCTCCCCAAATTATTCTAACAGTTCCTTTCTTTGCCAGATTCTCATTACACAGGACTTACTGAGAAGTGACCCTTTACAGTAAAGTTCAGGTCAACAGCTGAACTTGATCTCCAAAACCTGGTGTGCAAAACCAGAAGCCAATGGCATATTATTGTTCCAACATAGAATGTACCACTTTCAGAGTTTTTCGCTTGTGGGGGTATCTCCCCCACCCCTTATTTTAATATGGGTAAGGATTTCAAAAATGCTTAGTTTTCAATAGTTTTCCCCAGGAAAGCAGTTATTCATGTCTGGTCCATTTTCTCCATTTCCTTGGTGCCCCAAATTACCATCAACCTTGTCAGATGAACTGCTGAAACACCAAAATAAATAAATAAGTAAGTAAGTAAGTAAATAAATAAATAAATAAAATTTACAAACCAAGAGACCTAGGGAAATGGTCAAAGAATAGTTACTTTTCAGAGGGAGAAAGATGATTTTGTTGGGAGGATAATACCTAAAAGTACTTGCTTCCTTTTCTCCCCTGGAACCTCAAGGAAGGCCGCCCTTAATGTATCTACTGCGCGAACCTGTTCTGCGGGTCCTGCCTCACCTCTCACCCCATGTTTGTGGCCAGGTGAGTCACCGGAGTGCTGTGTGATTCTTCCAAACATGCCAAGCTACTACTTAGGTCTGGCAGGGAGGCGTCTCCTTGCCCATTGGAGAAATCTAATGTTCTCCCGGCTTACTGTTCATTTCACTGTGTATGGCTGTACGTACTTTACAAAATAGACAGGCTTTTGAAAAACTGCACATAAACCTGTGGTTCTAAGTTAAATTATAGATTTTTAAAATTCAAGGATGTCTTGATCCTTAAGGGAACCCCCAGTCGCTGCCACTTGTAAGGGAGAAACAACTTTTGCTTTGATACTATCTGCCCCATGAATGTTTTACAAGTGTGGGGTTTATAGACCACGTTTTCTTAAATTGAGAGACACAAGTACAGCCAGTTTGGCTTGTGACTGACTCCATGAAAGCCCCTAGAACACAACACTGACTCCACAGCTAAGTCTTATTCATCTTTTCACAGAGAGCAGTTATGGGAGCCTTCTTGAAGCTTAGCTACTTCTACTCATTTGCAAACTATTTACAAAAGAGGATGCAAAATGGGTGTGTGTTTTTCCAACAAAACTAAATGCTATTAAAGGCAATCTGTAAAGGATGAAGCAGGGGTGCCTTGAAAAGAAGCCTTTATTCCCTGCCACTCCATTGCACAAACACAGAGAGTCAGGATCTAAAGTCTTCTCTTTATAAAATGTTCCCTCCATTTTATAAAGGGGAAAAGGATAGATCTTCACATGGCATGCAGTGATGTGTTTATTGCTACCACACACATGAATAACAATGTTCGGAGGTTTTAATTCAGTTTTCCCCCACCCTCTCGCTTTCTGTATTTTTTTCCTCTTTCCTCCATGCCCCTGTACCTACTTGCCTTAGTTCGGCAGAAGTTAGACCTCCCTGCGAGATTTCCTGGCTTTTGGTTTCTAAAAGCCCGGTTCCCCAAGAGAAGATAGACTCTGAAGAAAGGAGCACGATGTCTTTGAGAAACAGGCCATGGCGAGGTGTAGTTATTCACACGAGGAGGAGCTTCTCCTGGTCTGGGGCAGGGACAGGAAACGAGGTCCCAGAGAGGAGTGGCTCCCTGGCTGGGCCCTGGGAAGGCAGAGGACCCCAGGGAAGAGGAGTTGTGTGTCTAGAGAGGAAAAACTATAGAGCTGGGGCTCACAGCTTCCACAGAGACCCTCATGCCTCAAGAGGACGTAGAAGCAGAAGAGAACTGCTAGGTGTCGAAGGGCCACTGGGGACTTGAGCAGTGCAGTGTTGATGAGACCGTGAGAGACCCCACAGCCAAGGCCCCTCACCTTTCTGGCCACTATGTAACCTTCACAATTGATGCAACTCTGGGAAGGAGAGGAGAGCCCAACAATGACAAAAATAAAATGCACAGAGGGCTCAAAGTTGCTTTAAAGGAAATATCAATCAAGTCACATTTAGTCCTCACCTGAGTAGGAGGACAAGGATTCACAACAGTTCCTCATTCTGATGCCAAGCACTGAGGTGAGGACTCGGCAAGTCTGCCAATTTTTTCCTATGTAAGCAGGTGCAGTCACATCGCTGGTGTGACAGCTAGAGAACTAGAGTGTGGCTTACCCCTGGGCTCAAGGTCAGCCATAAGCCTTTGCTCCTTGGGTATCACCTTGGCCCTCACCATTGGGCTCCAGGGTGAGCAGTTTACAGCTGTTGTTTCCACACTCTGCAGATTAAGTGGCACCAGTTGAAACAACAGATGGTGAGATTTCCGATTTAGGAGTGGTCATTGTGTTCATTGCCATTTTAGCGTTTGGACATAAAAGATAGAGAGCACATCCTGACCAAATAAAATTCTATGGCTGAGAAAAAGATCCATTTAGGATCAACGATCAAAGGCCCTGTAGGAAATGAGCATGGCCCGGTCACCCCATAAGTCAATCTGGCCTTTCTCTTCCAATGTTAAGTGTAGCAATTCCTGAAATTTATTGTACATATCGCCTATGTCCATTACCAAATAGTTTCTGGGGCCATTGACAGATGCAACTAAAAAATAAAAATAAAATGAGCCCTTCCACACATGTTGGAGCCTATCTGACAACATAAAACAATATATCCCTTAGCCTCCCCTAAATAATACATAGAAGCATGAACAGAAGAAAACCACAGAATCTAAAACAGACATGACAAGCTGGTAGAAAACATTAACTCCTCACCCTAGGAAGGCACACAGGCACAGGCAAGGGGAGCCTTCCTTGTCTTCAGAAGGAAGGTACAGAGAACACAAAGAGGAAGTATAATGAATAGCTTCTGTTGTGGGTAGATGATAAACTGTACGCTGAGGCTGTGTTTCCATTTTATTTATTTATTTTTTAATTTTTATTTTTAAAATATATTTTTATTTATTTCAGAGAGGCATGGAGAGGGAGAGAGATAGAAATATCAGCGATGAAAGAGAAGTCATTGATTGGCTACCTCCTGCACAACCCATACTGGGGATCGAGCCTGCAGCCTGGGCATGTGCCCCAACCTGGAATCGAACTGTGACCTGGTTCATAGGTCGACGCTCAACCACTGAGCCATTCTGGCTGGGCCTGTGTCTCCATTTCCATCTACTATTTCACAAGCAGTACAAGGCGATTGTCAAGGTGTTGTGGCCAGCTGCACCGTGTCTGTACCAGGCTGCCCTTGGGGGACACTACAGGATCTCAGTCTGCATGGAAAGGTGGTCTGTGTTCTTGTCTCTGACAATAGGAGATGGTGAGCGAGGCCAGAAAACAGCTAGCAGGAGGAGGAAAGACCCTCTTAGCACTGAGCAAAAAGAACAACAGCACAAGGGGAGGCCTGAAGGAAAGAGGTAGGGATGCTGGGATACTGCCTGCCTCTGCGACTTGTGTTGGGCATTGCCATGAAGGGTCTCTGAAGGAAAAGGAGAAAGACCTGCTCAGGGGATATACAGGCGCTGCACACATTTCTCGCTTCCTCTGCAAACTAAAGATTGATTCAGACCTAGCAAGCCTGGTGGTGGTGTGTGAATCTCTTCTGGACACAAACCCAGACATCAGGTCCAATTTCAAGTACATTTAAGGCAACCCTCAGGCTCTGATCAGTCTCAGGGTCAGACTGAACTACTGGCCTGGGAATCACAGCGAGTGCTATGCGTCCTGCTATTGCTAAGAGGAGGGGCAAAGAGGAAAAGATTTTGAACTAGAAATTGGAACACATGCCATGTGCTAGCACTTTATAAAGCCTAGCATTTTATTATCCTCATAACCCTATGAAGTAGATATTTTTATCTTTTTCTACTGAGGAAGAAACTGAAGTTCAGAGAGTTACCTGGATTTCCCATGGTCACTCAGTTGGCAATAGCCACCATAGTGAAGACAGTGGATGCGGTTGAAGTGGGAGTAGAAACCATACCTCTCCATGCGCTTGGAGTTTACATACGTATGTAATTGTCCAAAAACAAACAGTTCTCACTCCAATTTTACAAATTAAGAATCTCAGGATGTTTCAATAACATGAAACATT